GTTATTTTTGGGAAGTTGCACACAATGACGTTTTACTTAACTTGCCTTGTAATAAAAATGTCAAATTATGTTTATTATTATTATGATATATAAAAAACAATTCAGCAAACATTTCCTGAATTCAACAGAACAAAGTCAGTCATATGGGTCAGGAAAAACATGTCCAAAGTACAATATATGGGCATTCATGATAATTAAAATGAAACCTCTTTTAAAACATATGTGGCAACATTTTTCGAGGTAGAAATTTAAAAAAAAAATGTACCTGATATTTTAAGAGACTTACTGACCTTGAAACACAGGCATGAGGTTTGGTCCTTTCTATGACATAATTTCCTTCGTTTTTCATGTTGGTCACAATACATGACTTTGAATTGGCAGACAAAAGCTTTCCAAAAATAAACAATTTTGTTAAAATATTAAAACTGCTTCCCAAAGATAACAAAATGAATTTTAAATTCAGAAATTAAAAACACGTTCGTCACAGAAGACACTTGAGAGCTGGAAGGACACATGATTCTTGCCTTTTTGTCGAGCACAGACCATAGCCTTGGCCATTACATTGAAGACTGGGGCGAAGCGAACAGCCAAGTTTCTCGTTTATGAATCCTTCTGACATATGACTCTTTTCATATCTGAGTTTCAGAGTTGGCACTGAATCAACAGTACTCTTAGCTTTTTTGATAAAAACACTTGGCACTTTCACACCTTTGCTTGACCTTTAGTAAAGTAGACAGCACCTGTGGCACACACTAGTTTTTTTTCTGACCGCTTCATCAGCACCTGGTAATTACCAGCAGGCAGCAGAGGAGCCTGCGGTGATGAAAGCCTCAGATACTAAAGAAAGGGGAAAAAATGAGAGCGAGTGAGCGAAAGAAAGCAAGAGAAACAACTGGCAAGTCCAAGCGCTGAGGTATGGAGAGGTGAGGAGACTATAGACTCGCCGGTTTGTGTTAATCCGGCTGGAGCAGGAACATGGGAATGTACTGATCTGCAGAGGCATGGAGAGTCTAAACGGCACTGTCTGCGGTAATCCTTAGGTTTACATGATGTAATTTTACTGGAAGACTGCAGTAGGGCACACTGGGGGTCTGACCTACTGTAGAACCCCCACCTATGACCACAGCGTTCAATGCACCCTCTACTAATGAACAGGGTTCCTCCAAGTTTTATGAAAGTCATAAAAGATCCTTCAGAAATAATTCTAATAAGCTGATTTATTATCAATGTTGGAAACAGTTGTGCTGCTTAATATATATATATTTTTTTTTTTGGAACCTGTGATACTTTTTTTCAAGATTCTTTGATGAATTAAAAGTGTAAAAGAACAGCATTTATTAAAAATATAAATATTTTCTCACAATATAAGTCTTTACTATTACTTTTGATCAATTTAACACTTTCAATGTCTTTCAAAAAAAAAAATACTCCATACTTTCGAACGGTAGTGTATAAATGCTGTTCTTTTTAACTTTTACTAATCAGAGAATGCTAAAAAAAGAGTACCACAGGTTCCAAAAAAATAAAACAATAAGCAGCACAAGTGTTTCCAACATTGATAATAAATCAGCTTCTGAAGGATCACGTGACACTGAAGACTGCAGTAATGGCTGCTGACAATTCAGCTTTGCATCACAGAAGTAAATTATATTTTAAAGTATATTAAAATAGAAAAACATTATTTTAAATTGTAATAATATTTCACAATATTACTGTTTTTCTCTATGTTTGATCAAATAAATGCATATAAAAAACATTCAAAATCTTACTGATCCCAAACTTTTGAGCAGCACACACACATACACAGCTTGAGTGTGTGTTTCTATCACCGCTCTTTATACAAAGAATGCTGTTTAACCCTCTGTTTTCTCTCTAAGTCTCTTTTTCTTGGCAAAGTTCTCGACGAAACATCATCATAAATAAATAACAATCACAGGGTACTTTGTAATTCCTCCTCCAAATAAAATGGTTGTTTCACTCACTACAAGTCTTAAGATGTTTCCCAGTGCCAAAACAGATATTTGTTCCAGTGAAGTCAAGGCGGTGACAGGCACCTCTGCTTTGAAGACTACGCTTCTCTATACTGAGGGACATTCATCCTGTAGGAGAGCAAGAGATGTTTATCTCTACGACTATTCACAGCGTGCAGTCACAAAACAAACACTAAATACACAGCCATAAATAAATAATGAACAAAAAGGGAGATTTCAGATTTCTGAAACATTGCAGAAGAATATGCGAAGAGCATGAGATCACATTACAGAAAAACGTGTTACGGAGACATCAGCACGATCAGAGTCTGGAGAAATATGTTGTGGAAATAATAGCTTGTTTGGATTTCCATGTAAACAGTTATATTTCATACATTCGAAAATGAGGTATAATAATAATAATAATAACAACAACAGTAAACCCTGTCTTATTGTCTTTTCTTCTGTATGGCATTTTGGTTGAATTGTTGCTGCTTTTAAAACATCCATACACCTTGCATTGTATTGCAGGTATTCACAAAAATGATTCACCAAGCCTTAAAGAGCCAACAAGTCACCAACCCCCTGTGGTGAAAATCACAAGTCTACGTGGTGTTTTTAATATGCTTAAAGACAAACCATGTGCAAATTCATCAACAACATTGTTGAGCATTTTCTCCTTAAAAATGCAGTGTACCAAAGATAGTCTTAAAATGCAATTTGTCACAGTACCTGTGTCCTACCATCACAGATATGCAGTTATCTCAACTTGCGGGGTTGAGCTTTTATCATTAGCAAAGTATTTCTATAAAGGATGTTGATTTTTAGAAGGTAGCTGTCTGAGGTGGCAAACAGGAACATGCTTTGTATAACATTAGCAACACATTATTAGCTGTTTGATAATGTAGCCAAGCCAAAGGCTAATGATATCAATTACTGTTATGTGTCCGATGTTGTAGAGAGAGATACATAAAATGCATTTCCATTCTGATACATCGACTTGTAGATGGCCCTGTAAAACTCGCTCTTCCTTTTCTTCTGATTTCTTCAGAATCAGTTTCTGGTTCAAACATATATGGCTAAATGCATCCACTATTGGTACTTGCCATTGTGTAGTGTTTAGTACTTCAGTTAACCGAGTGAAAGTGGAGCAGGTCCAAGCTGGTCTGATTGAGTGGAGGCAGGGACTCATTTGCATACTCTTGGTCCACATCTAAGGGTGTGGGATTATATTCAAGTGATTTTAAGACGAAGGAAAAATTTTTTAAATACGTCATTTTGATAATCAAAGATAAACTTTAAGGGATACAATTAGTGACTGCAGTGGGACTCTAGGTGCGTTCACATTGGCGAAATTTCACTTGCAAAAAAAAAAGTCCATCTATTGTCAAAAGTGTAGCGATGTATGGAGTATATCTTGCACAGAATTCATGGTAAAATCAAGCAGCTTTCTGTTGGTCAATGCGGCAAATTCACATGACCAAACTGAACCCATGAAATGAAAATTGCATGGGAAATCTTTTGCCTCACACAAAATTCCATATGAATTTTAATGCCTTTTTTTCCGCCACAAAAAATTCAAATTTCCAAACATTAGATATAAGAAAATATCCATTAAATTACATTCAAAAATGAGTAAAAAGGGGCATTTTACACTCACATAAAAAAACGTACAAAAGCTGTCACTGGGGCAATATCCTTTCAAAAGGTACTAATATGTACAATTTAGATACTAATATGTAACTTTAAAGTGGAAGTGAAGCAGTCAGTTAAGTTAACATTATTTAGTAAAGTGATTTCCACTTTGATTAAAAAAATATATAACAAACATGATTAATGTAACCATTTTAAAGAAAAAAGGATGTTTTGTTATAGCTTTTAGAGCAAGGGCGCCGCCATCTTGCAGTACCACCGCGTGTGACGTCACGGGGTTGGTTCGCTCCGATGGCCAGTGAAGTAATATAAGCATTTCTTTACATTACTGCTCGGTCCCATCGCCGTATCGGCTCAAATGCATAGGCAATTGCACTTATTATGGACTTAACAGTGCTTTCAATGTAATTTTCCTCCATTTCAAAACAAGTGTGTGTTCAAAATGTAAAGAAATGCTTATATTACTTCACTGGGTCGCTCCGATGGCCAGTGAAGTAATATAAGCATTTCTTTACATTTTGAACACAGAGATGTTATTTTAACACACAAATAATTAGTTTTTCACCATAATTTGGATGAATATTCAACATCAAACTGTCTATATGCTAAGTTTTGATCGTGGTATCCCAAACATTGTTTTCATAATGCCAGGCGC